TGTATTACATAAGCAGAAGTAACAATCAGTTTCATGGTCCTTGGGCTCACGCCAGATGGTCGGTTCAATAACAGTCATATTGCTGCTATTATCATCCTACTTCAACATAGCAAGTTGCAAGAATTACAAATTGAAGATGGTACCCATGTCTTATCTAAATTGTCGATCGCAACCTTATAACATTTCATATATAGAGTTTTGATTGAATCATTAATCGATCGTTGATAAGAAGTTGTTTCAAACTTCCCATAAACATAACAAAATGTATCAATTTCTCTTGCACAAGGGCATCTGGAACTCATTTTTCTTATAATAAATAACAAAGAGGATAAAAAATGTTCTTATGATAAATATTCTTATAATAAATAAAGTAGAAGAAAATAAGATAATAGCATTTACAGGAAATTCAACCGTTAGCCCACCACTCAAACGTGATCTCTAACACGGAAGGATTAGCATGTCACAAAATAAGTTATCTCAGCTTTCACCTATCTCAGCTTCAGCATACAATCATACATTTCAAGTTACGTAATATTCTACATCATCTATCTACAGAATTTCAAAAACGAATGAAAGATTTCACGGTTTTTGATTCCGCTGATCGTATCTGATATCAGATTTGCAAAATGTATTTTATTTCAAAAATTTCTTTAAACAAATTCCTGTATAATAGAATATTTTTGCAAGCTGCACCACATTTCCATGGTTTTGGGGGTTACTAGTCACGAGTTTGATGTCAGATTTGTACATTTAAATTTATTTAAACAAATTATTAAAATTTTTAATTCTAATATTTGTTTGTCTGTCACAGGCCGACAAACTTCAGAACCAAAAACTATACATAACGCACCCGAAGAATTTCGATGCGCTAAATCCAAATCCCAGCTTAGAATTGCGCCAGCACGTCAGTATTCCGAGATATTCTAGAAGGCTATAATCTGCGTGGTCATAACCCTAAATCCGTTAACCCAAAAACCCCCGACCGCTTAACCTTTAACTGCCCCCTTAACCTTAAATCCGTTAACCCTGTAGCCCTGAAACCTGTGACGTTATAACCCTCGATGCCGTTACGCAAATCCCAGTAATTTGCGCCACAAGGAATCCAGGGCTATTGTATCGCAGGTTACAGGATTCCGAGGTGAAGAAATTCGGGGTTAAGTTGGCAGGTTTTATTGCCGCGCTTGTTATAACCTTCTTGGGTTAAAATATTTGGGGCTAAGGGGACGGGGATTGTTGCATCGAAGGTCACAGGGCTCGGGGTTAAGGGATTTAGGGTTAAGTGGGCAAGGCTTATTGCCCCGCAGGTTACAATGCTCCAAGATCAGGGATTTGAGTTATAATAGTCGAAATTCATTGCGTTGCCGTATAAACCAATTGATAAGTAGTACATTTCAATTGACGATAAAAGAAGACATAAACTAAAGATTGTTAGTGCTTTTGTACGATAATAATTGCTTTTTAGATGCCGTAGTCAATTTTGCACGAAAAAAATTATTCGCAATGTTATAAGGTACCGTATATAGCCAAAAAAACTTGATTTTCGCACTTTTAGGTTAGGATATCTCAAAATTCTGACGTACTAAAATCCTTCGGGCGTACTATGTCTGGTTACTCTGGTCTGGTCTGGTGTGTCGCAGTATAAACAAATTCATAGGTGTTAAATTTCAAACGACGATATCTACATTACCAAAAGACATAAAAACAAAAATCTTTAGTGCATTTTGTAGGCCAAGAGTTGCTCTTTCAGATGCCGTTATTAGTTTTGCGTGAAAAAATTTATTCACAATGTTATAAAGTACCGAATGTAGTCAAAATACGTGATTTTCGCACTTTTAGGTTAGGATATCTCAAAATCCTGACGTGCTGGCGCAATTCTGAGCTCGGATTTGGATTCAGCGCATCAAAATCCTTCGAATATATTATGTCCGGTCTCTGGTTCTGAACCTTTGTCTAATTTTGTTGGCCTGTGATCGACGCAGACTGAAAATTTGCTTGGCGAACAATGGAGGACCATTTGAGCATCTTATGTAATTAAATTTTTCAAATATTATTAGTTCATTTCATTCTAATTGAAAGTTTTTTTGTCGATTTGGAAAATATTGTTTAGGTAAATAATTATCATTATTCGTTAAATGAAATCGTTATCGTAATTTTAAGTTTTTTAAGAAACCAAAATTACTGTAAATTTAATAAAGTTACCTTATTCTAAAATCTCTATCAACATTTATTTTTTTCTACCCATCCAACTTTTCCAATTACGAAATCAGAAATTAAAAAGATCGTTTTATGCAATAAGAACCTAAGTGATAGCATTATGATTTGAAGAATTTTCACGCAAATAAAATAAACCAATAATAATTTACCTTAAAAGGTTAAATAGTCCCACAGTAAAATTTATAATTTTATAATATTAGTTTAGTAATATTAAAAGACCTTGGCCTTGAAATGACCTTGAAGATGAAGTTCAAGGTCAAAGTTGTTGATACCCTCAGGGGCTCGACTCTGTTATGTACAAATTTTGTAAAGGTCATTTTCCGATATCTTAAATATTAAAAAAAAATCACCCGTAGCCAGTTTATCAAGTAATTGACCTTAAATCGACCTTCTCAAGGTCATGAAAAAAATTTTGAAATACCGTTTTAGACGTAAAATTTTCCGCTCTTTCTGAATCCGGTGTCAAAAATAGGGGTTGTCATTTAAAAAAATGAATTTAACCTTGAAATGACCTTAAAAATGGCCTTCAAGGTCACGAAAAGGTCACCATAATACTGCCCCCTCGAAGTTGAGAAATATTCATCTGAAACATTTTTTCCGATACCCATGAAATCTCCGAGTAATCTTCATCCGAAAGTTAAAATAGGACACCCTGTATATTTATATAATTTAAAAATGTCGTAACTGTCAACTTTGAATATTAAATAAATAAGTAATCAACTTGTGTTTGGGAGAAGTAAGAAAGTTATTTCAAATTTTAAAATATATAAATATAGAAATAATTGTCAAATAATATTACTTTCAAAGATATTTATTGTGGGTAATCTTATTCATAACTTGATATTATAAACAGCAAACTTTAGTTGACCTTTTACGGTTAAGACGAAATGAATAAACTTACTTAAAATTGATTGTTTGCAAAGATTTTATAGTTAAAAATTCAAATTAATTTATCGTTTTCGTACAAAATAATTATTTGACTAATTACTTAATATTTTGCTTAATATTAATACATATATTTATGTTATTAGTCAATTACAGTCTGCAATTGGAAAATTAGTTCATTTAAAAAACAGTTATATTTCATGTTATTGAACTTCACAATTTATTACAATGAAAACTGTTATTTTAACGATCTTCCCATCTATAATTTTCCAGGATAATTATTATACATTATTTTTTATTACTATTACTATAGCGTCAATAATTTTAAGATTTTTACAGATGACAAAATAATATTATTGGTTAGTAATGATGAATATTTAACATAATCCTAAAACGTAATATCTTATTTTTTCAGACTTATTTCGCGTGCCTAATCACATCAACGACAGTCATATATGCCTGTACTTGATGCGCCATACCACATAACCATCTCTCAGCTAATCACATCATGAATAAAATGCGATACTTTCCAGTCCATCTTCTTTTTTATATAGGATTCTAAAACCAGCGCTTTCTAAATTTGGAATTAGCGCGTTTCCACCTCTGTTGAGCACTCACATACTCGTGTAATATACATATATATTTGCGCATCTCTATATAGGTAGTTCATAAAGCAAAGGTTAGGTAATCGTGCGAAAAAGTAAGAAGACTTGCATAAATTCAAAAACATCAGGCAACGCCCAGTTTAAGACAATATCGTTCATAGAAGGAGTAATCACCAATCAGCATGGTCAATCAGCAGACGTTTTATTTATTGTAAGCGTTGACTGTTAATCCTGTGTTCATAAGAACTCATTTGTTGTGTCAATTCCAACTTGCTTAGTTATATAAATAATTTAAGATATCTTATCGACATCAATTTCAATTTGTTAATTAATAATTATGAAATAGCGATATAGAGCATGAGTTTATGTAGTTTATAATATGGTATATTTCAATGACGACGATTTTTACGGGATTTTTAGTACGTTCTGACTGAAAAATGTCCAAATTTGGACACATCCTTTAATTAATCAATTATGCGTGTAAATCAACGAATTGTATGATTATGAATGAGTGTGCCTTTTGAGTTATAAAGCGCGTGTATTAGACGTTAGTGGTTAGCTTGAATTCTTAATCTTGATCTGATTTGTTTATTTCTTACATTCAATTAATCAAAATATATATAATATTAGTAGAAAACCTTTATGTCGTAAACCCTAACACCAAAGTATCACCAGTTCTTCCTGGGAACCAATAATTTGCTTATACTTTAACCTCCATAAGTCTTGAAATATCACAATTTGATAAAATACATCAAAATGCAAGGTTATCGTTTTTGTTAAAACCAGCATGTTTATAAGTAAAAAAGATTGTCGTAAGCATGAATGATAGAGAACTAAATTAATTTCGGTTAGACAAAAATACACGGACTAATAAAATTAAAAAATTAAGAGCCTGCACCTTTAAGCTTATTCTATACAATATATTTTTTCTGTGTTATTAACCATTTATTAGTTCAAATTTTTACATTCAATAGAATAAATATACTCACAAAGAGGTTAACTGAAATTTTTTTTTATTTAGATGCGTGAAAAAATCTCATCTCTATAGGTCTCCTTTATTATTTAAATAAATAATTTTATATGAATGATTTAAAAACTTCATTTTACTAAGATAAGCTTATTGACTTTTTTTAAAACACAAGTGTTATCAATGACTATAAGAAGAATTTAATTTTCATAATATTCACTGGTATATTATAACTGACATATGGATACATCTTTAATTTTAATGTACTCTATTGCCATCATAAATAAACAGTAATGTTAACGCTCGTTTATCAATAATGAATGTTGCAGCGTGGAACGAAACAGGTTACAAGGGTCCTTATCCATTAACAGAAAAGGAGACAAGCATGATTTTACCAATGGTTCTGCAGTACCTTACACCAGACTTCGTTTCATTTTTTGGTCTGGGAGCCGTATCAGCAGCTGTGATGTCATCAGCGGACAGCAGCATCCTCTCGGCAAGCTCAATGTTCGCCAGAAATGTATATAAACTGATATTTCGCCAAAGGGTAAGTTGTAGTAGGTGGGCTTCAGCAAAGATCTTTATTGAATATATTTTTGGTTTTCTACTACTAATAAAGTTTTTATTGATGTTAGGCTTCGGAAATGGAAATAATCTGGGTGATGCGCACGGGCATAGGGGTAGTAGGAGTTTTGAGCACAATAATGGCTCTAACCATCCCCTCAATTTACGGGTTATGGTCTATGTGCTCAGACCTTGTATATGTGATCCTGTTCCCGCAGCTGTTGATGGTCGTGCATTTCAAACCCTACTGCAACACTTATGGCAGCCTTTCAGCTTATGTAATAGCATTTATTGTACGCATAAGTGGTGGTGAACCAATAATGGGCTTACCTGCCCTCATTCACTATCCCGGCTATGACGAGAAAAATGGAATACAGATGTTTCCTTTCCGAACTATGGCCATGCTCATTTCTCTTGTCACTCTCATTGGCGTTTCCTACGCTACACAGGTGCTCTTCCTGAGTGGCAGACTTGCTCCAGGCTATGATTACTTCCATTGCGTTGTTAATATTCCTGAAGATGTCGAACGGGTCGGCCCTGACCCAGCAGAGGTATTTTTAGTAACTAATGAACATAAAAAAATATTGATAATAGACATACATAAGTAAAAATATAAAAGCAATTAATAATTAACATAACAGAAGAATCGAATTTATTTAATTTTAAATGTTATAGGGTGAACAAATGGCAGTTCTGGCAGCTGGTGCCGGTAGGCTTTACGGCAGCAAGGACGAATCAAACGGGCGAGTGAATCCAGCACTCGAACCGGACTACGACATGGAGCCAGATTACTCAGCAGTACAGCCAGAGCAAGCGATGCCGGTTGGCAGTAGAGAAGACTTTCTTACACAAATTGGAGCACAACAACCTTCGGCCCTCAGTCATACTCGCCAGGTCCACAACAGCACCGCTTTTTAAGCTCGCCTAAACATCTTCTGACTCCGTGTTCGGATGCTGTGACTAACAATAACCGTGGCAACACGGCCACACTTTTCCAATTCATTTAACTACTTTATTTGCATCAAAGAATTAGTTTTTCTATTTTAACATTTCTACGCTTTCTGAAAAAAAAAAGATTTTTCTTTTATTCCTTTATTTTCCTGCATTTTTTCATTTTACTCGTGTGTCTTGGATAAAATTAAGAGATAGTAGTTCAACATAGTAAAATATTTTAATTTTCTTTTTCATTTTTCAAAGCCGTGTTGTCTCTTAGGTCTAGTAAAAATTGTTTTTATTTCAAATTTAAAGTGAAACGTTTTAACTATAACCAGTCTTAAAATTTATCATTACAAATTAAAATATATATTTTATTTCAATGGCGACCATGCAAAATGGTGGCCATTGAAATAAAATATATATTTCAATGGCCACCATTTTGCTGGCTAAATCCAATATTTATGGAAACTGAGTTAACACAATTGAGTTCTTATTGTTTCAGTACCGTTTTGAAATGTATCCATATACAACAAAAACAACATTCGATCTAAATTTCTAAACTTACGATACATAGTCGGTTTTTGTAAACATTTTGGTTAACCAAATAACTTGACCTAAAGTTTGCTTGTGTAGTTAACAAAGTGAATATATTGTTATACTATAATATATTTTGAAAATATAAAAAATTTAAATATTCTAAAATCTATAAAAATCACCATGTACCATAAGATTAGTAAATTTCGTAAAAGTTTTTTCCGTGTAATTGGACAAATTTAACAAACATTTTAATGTGTCTGTTATAAAGCAATTGTTATAATATCATTATAGAGTGCTAAACCGTGCTCTACTATGTGTTTTTGTTAAATAATTTAGTCGAGTAAGCTAAAGAAATTCTTATAGATGTGAAATGGAGAAAATTCATGGTTCATTAATTCAAAATATACAGATGAATCAAATATGACTTCGAAAACATTAATTTAAACAATGATTCCGAAAAAATTTGGATATACTGTTTAAAAGGATCTCAAACATACTTTAAACTATACTACCAAATTCACGATGAAATGTCTTTGCTGTAAACCGGTTTCGCTGGAGCACTACTAAGCTGCTTTCGTAAAATATTAGATTCTAAAAAATAAGTAACAATTACGTATTCTTCAAATACCCGAATCTTGTTTAATAAGAAATATGATTATATTCGGTTATAGCACGCTTCATTATGCGAAGTAAATTAAAACATTTTTGACACTTTATCCCCAAAGTACGTCTTTTCCACACGGTTGGCGAAAAACGACTGTTGAAAATCGTATTTTCCACACGTCGTATCAAAAAATACGGTACGACACATGTTCAGGAATGAGTTTCTCGTCTCCTATGTTTTTTCACCCTCGCTTTGCTCGGGCGTAAATGTTACACAAGACAGGAATCTAGTTTCCCACACTTGTATCGTAATGTACTATTATAATTTATCAACTATTTAGTAACATATCATTTTATAATACACACATACACACGTGAGTATATATGAACTAACTTAAACATATGTGTGGAAGATATATTTGTGTTTGAAGATACGAGGTTTTTGATGAGGTCAAAGTTTCGATCATCAATTGAGTTGTGTGTTACTTATTGTTTATGTTTATTTCCAATTTTTATATTCTTCTCATTAATTTATAATCAGGAATTCTATATTTTCACGTTTTACTCGCGTTAAATAATAATATTCTATTGAAAATATAGTTTGTAAATCTGGCTCCATTTTAAACGCCGCTTGAAATTCTCCGCATAAGTTTCATATAATTACATTAAATTAATTTAAGGTCACAGAACGATTCTAACACTTTTATACTAATTCTAATTCTGACACATCCGTTCAAATATAGATTGCGCAGGTTGAATCTATAGAAATAATAGGCAAGCGTATGAAAAAATAAATTGTTTATACATCCATATAATCTAGCTATTATTATTTCCAATTTACAACAAACTGATATATTACTAAAATAAATAATTTAATTTATAGGGTGTCCAAGACCACCCGTCCACCCCTTGTAGTTTTTCAAAAACACATTTTCAGAAAATATAAAACATACAAAATTTCAGTAAATCAGTCAAGGATTTCAGCGGTGACCTTTAATTTGACCTTGGAAATGATTTTCAAGGGCATCTCAAGGTCAACTTGGTTTTTTTAAATATGAACCCCTACTTTTGACCTTGAATTCTTAAAGAGCACGAAATTTTGAGTCAAAAGTGTTTTTATAATTTTTTTTATTAGAGGCACAGTCTCCGAGAAAAATTTCATTAAGATTTACAATTTAACATGTGAAGCCTTTCAGATAATTACAAGCCATCGGTTTTACGAGTTAAATTACAAATGTTAATAAACTTTCTTTATCGAAACTATGAAACTTCATTATCCATTCGAATACGTTAGATCATATGCGAGGATAGTTTCATACATCAGATCTTTCATGAGAATCGAATACGAGTCATTTTTATATATTTCTTACGTTGCATCTTGAATGAAAATATGTTCAAGTATAAGAAATAGGGGATGAAAATATCCTACGGGATCTAGCGATGGTTCTTACATCAGAGCTGATGTTAAAATTCTTAGTAGGGATTACATTATGTTTAAGTTCTTCTGTATATTAAGTGATAAAGTGATAAGTTGTAGATCAAGGACTAGTACAATTTTTTCTAATATTTAGTGCAATTTGTCCCAATATGGTCAATAACTTTTAGTTCTATTAGAGCTGTAAATAATATTTATAAGTTTCTTCCAATTAAAAATAGAAATCATAATTAGTATTGTGTAACTTAGTTGCGTAGTAGTTACAGATTTCATTGTTATCCTTTACTGTATTCATGTGAAAGAAAAAGCTTGAACATACGGTAAAGAATGAATATTGCAAAAAAAAAATTTTGTCAAAGTGAAAAATTTAAAGAATACTTTTGTAACAGTCTTAATTTAAAAATGATACTTATATTTGATTTGATATTTTTTTACTATTTACTACAATTTTTTATACACTTTTTGTATCAATCTTATTTATATTACGTCTCAGGCAACGGTCGCGGATTGACAATAATTACTCAATCGCGACTGTCTCTTTTCGGTTAACGCGTAAGCGCTTTACCACGGATATGAGACTAAGCAAGAGCAGGCTGGCAATAAAACTAAGGCGGCGACTAGAAAAAGTAACGATTAATATAAATAGATTTACCTGTAGGTTGATTTGTTATATAACTCGTACTGTAGAATCCAGGGATGGATTGTAGCTGTATTAAGTAGGCGCAAGACCTTTTCTAATTTAAAATAAGTGACAAGTGATATTTTACTGTAAATATTTATTAATCAGAACAAGCGATACAGAGACTTCCGGAGTCTTCCAGAGTGTAGTACTAAGTCCTTTCAATAGGCGCTCTCACACCTCTTTTATAGAGCAAAACACCTAAAATTAACACATAAAGAGTTACACCCATAAGGGGAGCGCGCATCACCAAGAACAAGGTCAAGCTTTAATTATACATTATTCTGATTGAAGGAATTACCCCTCTATAAAATTTTTAATTTCCCGCTTTTATATCGCCTGATCTGTTCCCGACGTCATACGCCCGCCCCTGAAGAATAGCGACGCAGGGCGCTCCCAAGTTGCACTCATTATTATTCGTTGTATAATGTGTTACAAATTTTATTTGAAACGCTTTCCGACACAATACTATTAAACAATGATCTATTGACATACCTCTAATAATTACTTGACAATCCATATACACTTATAATTCACATACAGCGATTTTACTACGCATATATCCATTTAACATGAAGGTTAATACGCATACATATATATATATTTTTTTTTATTTAACTTGCACACAAAAAAAAAAACGATCCACAAACATCACTTATCACGTCCTTAAATAGTATCTATTCCTCGAAGGATAGAAAACTTCCCCTCCACACAACGTTCAATTTTCGCTGGAAGATCTTTTCTCCGATGTTGTCGCGCTTGCACGTACGGCATTTCTCTCCGCCTTGCAGAACATATTGATACGTGGTCGACCAGCAATCCCAGCTAATCAAAAAGATATCCTTGGAGCCATGGCTTAAGTACTTCAGGATACACAGCTTGCACAAACGCCGCACTGGTAAGGGACGAGTGCATTGTATACAACGATTCCACGGCCAACTTCTCCCTCGTCTTATAATACCATATAATCCAGCCACTTCTGTTTCTCCACTCGAGTGCTTCTTTCATGCGGTCGTGAAACAAACTCTACATGCTGTTATTGATCGTTTTCTTGTCTCAACTTCCATCTTTTCATATAGATCCTCAGGTGTTTATTTCGTACTTCTGTTCCAGGAGCTAACGGCAGGAGAAGATCATAGCCCATCATTCGGGCAGAAAGTTCCGATGCTCTTCGATAGTTCGCACAATTTTCATAGCACATCTGACCCAAAACTTTACTTTGTTTGCCAGGCTTCCTATTCTGAACGGCCATCCCATCATAACTGCTTCGCTGTTCAGCCATATCACAATACGACGCCGACACATCTCCGACAAAATTACACTTTCATCGGTTTCAGGGCTATGACTATAAATTTAATGGATCACTTAATATTCCTTCTTCAGTGATGACGAATTCGTGCTCTTCTCCGAGGGTCAATTCTAACTTTTGTAAAATCTTCCGCACAAACATGTTGAACTGTGACCTGCACTTCTATTGACGAATGAGCTAGTTGACACAACAACGTCTTACGGACAACTAGCTCCCTTTTTATTCTAGCTCACCTTTCATACCAGGAAGTTAATCATTAATCTCGCTATAAAAATTTTAATTTCAGTCCTTTTCTGTTACTAGATAACTTTATATGACTAGCTAATTTATTCAAGAACCATGCGTTCAGTTTAGTCCTGCCTTCGACAACTGTTTTCGCAGGAGCCTTATCGGTTAGTTGCAGCAATTAATTAATTAATAAGGAATCCACAGCAATTTAAGTGAAAATAATAGTTAATATGTATATATATAAATTTTTATTTACTATATATCTACCTAATAGCTACCGTTTTCTCAGTATAACTCGTCCACCTCTCTACTCCTTGCCTCAATTAACTCGATACCACCTTGATGAAACACGTACATTTTCCAGCGATTTTCGATATTCCGCAAAAGTGCACGTTATAAGCCGAACTAACACGTCTTGATATTCATTACTTAAATAAAACACTTTCGGATAACGACACTCACGTAGTGCCAGTAACGGCACCTGGCATACGGCGCAGTATCCAAAGGCGATTTGACCTTCCTGATTAAAACTCCCGTAGTCGATCTTGAACACATGCAGAATGAATGTATTAGTACGTTCTGTGACTGTTTGAGACCGACAGTAAAGTGAATCTTGGTTCCAGTGCTCCCTTTCTATCGTCCACTCTTCTTGATTCCGGTATATACTTCTTTTCGGTACTGTGGTGTACTCTGGATGTTTCAAAAGCTCGTTATTACTTCTTAACACGAAGCGTCTTCCTCTGGCTCGTTGTTGCACCACTATGAGTCCGAGTATTACTGGACCTAACAGGTGGTAACCTATCCTCATTGCACCTTTTTCGAATAGTTTTCGGATCTCCACTGAGTTGGTGTATAGGAGTTTCCCAATCCTCTCATAACTATCGGTCGACTGGAACAGTTGTATTTTATACCCACATTAACTAATGGTTTCGTTTAGCCAGCGGCGATCTCCTCAGCGATAAATATGGAAAGGGTCAGGTGTTTTGCAGAAATTTTTACTAGTCTCGAACAATCCTAGAGGGTCTCGTTGCACAACACCTTCTTCGTTAAAGAGAAAATCGTGGCAATTATCTCTTTCACTTATCAACTTGCTGCTCACAAATTTAGCGTATATCTTTCTCACTGATCTAATTCAAATTACTTGCTCTGCTGTTTCATATAGATTAACGAATTTCTACTTCTCCGTTTGTTTTAGCACTTATCTTTTCTAATTACCCATTTTCCTTTTTTTCCTTTTCTAATCCTAGATAATTAACATTTTACAATCGACGAACTACTCTAGTCACACTAGGAGAACTTTTATTACACGCACCTGGTCTAGTACTACAGGCGACGTTCCCTACGATATAATCCGCAGAATTAAAAATTTCTTCGCGTTATTAAGCTTATATTAAATGCTAATCATTAATACTATGACAAAAACTGCAACTAGCCAGTGGACTCCTTTAACAACAAACATACGAGAGTGGTACGATAAGTACTTAGCCTCACCACCCGATGGCGCCGTGCTCGCAAGAGAAATATATTACCATGTAGTACAATCTTGTCGATGGTTACTGTCAAAATTTCAGTCGAATCGGACTTATAGTTCTGTTGTGATCGCGTGTGGAAGCGGGCGTGTTAGAAAAATGGAAAAAGAGCAGTCTCGGTCAGTGATTCGATTCTTGTTTTTGGAAGGGAATTGGGAAAGGGATCACGCTTGGATGCTGTATACGATGACTCTTCTCCTTCGATGGCGACCGTAAAAAATTGGTTTAATGAGTTTCAACGTGGCGCACGTCAGTTTTTGATGAACCACGCCCAGGTGCTTCGAAAACGGCTACCACGGAGGATAACGTGACAAAAATTCGATCTCGTATTGGCAGATCGACAATTGAAGGTGCACGAGATAGCTAAGATCCTAGGCATTTCAAAATACGGCGTGGATCATGTCTTTCATGAAATTTTGGGCATGAAAAAGCTGTCGGCGCGATGGATGCCGCGTTTGCTCACTCCGGACAACAAGCGCAACCGTGAG